CACTGTGTTCTGGACTCAAGCGCTCTCGGTCGAGCGCCGGACGGCCGATGTCGCCCGCGTCGGCAACTTCAACGGGGTGAGTTCAACGAAGGGCGCGGGTTCAGGGCATGATTCTGTTTCGCCTGGGGGCGAAAGCGTCGGCACCGCTCGAGGGAAATCGTGCAAAATCCACGATTTCTCAACCCACGCCATGTGCCAAGTGTCCAAGAGTCTGAACGCCGACGCCATTCGGCCATGGCGACGCGGCACAGCTTTTACCCACGTACGCCCCACCGGCCGTTCAAGCAGCTGTACCATAAGTGAAATGTGACCCGCAGCCCTGTGCCCATAATCAAGGACTGCGACGTCTTTTACGTCTCCACTTTTTATATCGAAACGCAAGGGAACATGAACATGACCAACGGAATGGACGGGTAGAAACTACGCCACTGGATGGGTAGAATCCATAAATCCATAAAACTTCGATCATAACTCCAAACAAAAACATTAGATTGTGCGAATTGGAGCCATGGCCTTGGCCTCAAGCGAGGAACGTCGCTGCTCGCGAAATTGAATTTTGCATTAATTCAATTCAATGGTGCGCGTAGAAACTACGACACTGGATGTGTAGAATCCATAAATCCATAAAACCTCGATCATAACTCCAAACAAAAACATTAGATTGTGCGAATTGGAGCCATGGCCTTGGCCTCAAGCGAGGAACGTCGCTGCTCGCGAAATTGAATTTTGCATTAATTCAATTCAATGGTGCGCGTAGAAAACTACGACACTGGATGTGTAGAATCCATAAATCCATAAACCTCGATCATAACTCCAAACAAAAACATTTAGATTGTGCGAATTGGAGCCATGGCCTTGGCCTCAAGCGAGGAACGTCGCTGCTCGCGAAATTGAATTTTGCATTAATTCAATTCAATGGTGCGCGTAGAAACTACGACACTGGATGTGTAGAATCCATAAATCCATAAAACCTCGATCATAACTCCAAACAAAACATTAGATTGTGCGAATTGGAGCCATGGCCTTGGCCTCAAGCGAGGAACGTCGCTGCTCGCGAAATT